TCAGGGGATCTCGTAGTCGAGCAGTCTCGACTAGAGCTTTCTTACTTGTTATTTAATAAAAATTGTCATCTGAAAAATCATTTGTTAATATATATGTATTCATTAATATTTTCCTTAATATTTAATTTAATTATTACAGCAAAACAACCAACAACAAAAGCAACAAGTGATCTAGTATGTATATCCTCTAATTATTTTCTCTAAGTTGTTCATCTAAGTATTTTTTCTAAGTATTTCCTCTAAGTATTCCTTCGAAGTATTTCTTTTAAGTATTTCTTTTACGTATTTCTTTTACGTATTTCTTTTACGTATTTCTTTTACGTATTTCTTTTACGTTTTCTTTTACGTATTTCCTCTACGAATTTCCTCTAAGCATTTCCTTTAATTATTTCTTCTAAGTATGTATTTCTTCAAAGAATTTCTTCAAAGAATTTCTTCAAAGTATTTTCTCAAAGTATTTCTTTTATGACAGCAAAACAATTGACAAAAGTATTAAGTAGGTTAGTATTCCTTCTATGTATATCCTCTGTGTATATCCTCCAAGTATGTCCTTATCCTCTAAGTATGTCCTTAGAGATCACACACTTCACTTCACTTTACTTCACTTTACTTCACTTCACTGCACTTCATGATTGACCCCCACCAGGCCTGGGTGACTGAAGAAATGCTGCAGCTGCTGCTCTTTATATAGGGCAACTTTCACTCAAGAACTAAGTCTCTCTCAATTGCCCGACGCCAGCTAGTGGTCGTTGCAGTCGAACTCTAAGTGACCAATGGGAGCACTCTCTGCTGCTGCATGCACTCTAGCTTAGTTTTAACGATCTTCTATAGCTCTTCTGCGTCCCTTAGTGTCATAGAAAGAGACTGACGGAGAAACAGACTGTGAAGTATATATATAGGCAAACAATTACGAATATTTAAATTGGATTACCACATTACGCCGCTCTATAAGACTAAAAGGTGATATGCTAAGTAGGGTATGCACAGTAACATTTATAATTATTAGATATGGATATAGACAGCCATAGACAGCCGTTTCTTCTGTTGATTTTCTGAAATCATTAAAAGCTTGAAGCGTTGCGAAAAATTCATCAGCGCTGTAAAATTAAAATATTGATATTCATATATGTATGTACATATTTTCATTATATATGTATGTGCTGTTTCTTTATTTGATTTCAGATTGTCTGTAGCAATAGTGAAAATAAAAATAAATATATATAGGGGGTTTGTTTAATTAGTGTTTCGTGTGAATGATTAACTAATTTGTTCTTATATAAACTATATAAATTTATTGCATTACTCATACGTAATTTGTGTGTTCCCATATTGTTAGGTGTTGTAGGCTCTTTATATACATACATGTTTTTTATGAGACTTTAAATTCCGTTGGGTATAGGTAATGGAAATATGAATAAAAATAAATTCTGAATCGAAAGTGTGGTATCTCCTGTGTGATGAGCTGGAAGAGTGCAAGCGAAAATATGGCCAGTTCACCTACTTCTCTGTATGACTAATGACCGGAACAGCAGCGGGAAATCAATTAAATCTTTAAAAAGAAAAATAAGCAATTTTAATACAATGCTGTAATGAAATAAATGTTTTATATACATCTATTTAAATACATAAAATATGATTAATAACTAATTGATTGATGCGACTTGACTTTTCTTCAATCAACGATCTATCATAAATATGTACCCACTTAAAAAACGGCTAGATAAACATGACGTGAAGCCGTAATTATTTATACTTTTTAATATATAACTATTTAACAACTCGCTAGTAACGCCATATAAAGTAGAACACTTAGTTTTTATTGTTAGTAGAGCCACAACGTTCAAAGTGAAGCTGCTCCATTTCATTGCCCCTGAAGAGATTTTGTAACATTTTAATAACTATGAAATTAAAAACTTGCATTTTCATTACGACTTTTATGACTTTGGTAAGATTAAAATTTGTATTTTTTTTTACATTTTTACATTTTTTACATTTAATTTTATTTAGCTGTGCTCTAGTTATAGTAATGAAATTTGCCAGAAGCTCAACAATATCACTATAGCCGAGCTGGATAATATTCCAACAAATATTCCAATTGAAGATTTGCCGGATAAATTTAAGTGCTATTGCAAATGTTTGATAAAGGATATATTGGATGATAATGGTAAACTTAATGTGGAGCTTGCTCTGAATGGTTCTGCGGAAAAAGTAGAAAAAGTAAGGGTCTGCAAAAAGCAATACGATCATATGGAGTCGGAATCGTGTAATTACGCGGCTTTTGCATTCAGCTGCCTACACCATGATTGAATAACCTAAACAACAACTAAATACAAATACTGTAAAAGACAACAAGTCTAATGAACGTTCGTTACGAAACGAGAGATTTCCATTATCAGAATTACTTTTAATATTAAGTTCAAGTTGTTGATTAAATGAGAGATTGTTAGACGAACTGTTTAGTATTGAAAAGAGAATGTTGAAATGAGTGAGAATTTGACTTTTAGTTTGACAAATGAAAGCTCTTTCCGCTCTCGCTTTGCTATGTATAAATCAGCTGGGCCTCAGCATTTGCTCAGCATTTAGAGACTTATTCTCGGCGGAGTACGAAATGCGTTTACTTTTAAGCTGTGCTTTTATACTGACAGCCGTGGTGCTTGGCGGCGCATACAAGGTGCCCAGGGCACAGGTGCGAGTCTTTTATCCCAAAGGATTTGAGGTTTCCATACCGCATGAGGAGGGCATTTCACTGTTTGCCTTCCACGGTAAGCTGAACGAGGATTTCGATGGATTGGAGGCGGGCACATGGGCACGCGATATACCCAGCGCCAAGAGGGGGCGTTGGACGTTCCGTGATCGTGAAACGGCATTGAAATTGGGCGATACTCTCTACTACTGGACGTATGTCATCTACAACGGGTTGGGCTACCGCGAAGATGATGGCGCGTATGTGGTCACCGAATATGCCCCAAGCCCAAGGCATTAAGTGTGAAATGTGATTTTTTCTTGAGTGATATTTACAAATTTGTATTTTATCTGTTTATAAATAATAATATTTAGCTGCTAAACCTGTTAAATACTATATAGTTAATAGAGCCCGCCCTTTATTTGATTTTAAGCCATTTGGAATATTATTTGAAATATATCAATAAATTGACAAACTGATAGCAGTTTTCGCAGCGCACATATGGAGAGTGCCATGTATAATGCAATTAAGTCAAATGGCATTTAAATATATAAAGCAAATCCTTTAATGAAAATCCATTTATTTTGATATATGTATATGCATATACGAAGAATCGCACTGTTTGATTCATGTAATTATTCGTGTTAATAAAATTTGCAATGCATATTTATGCGCTTTTAAACGCTGTAATTAATCATGCATAAGTGCAATGCATTAATGGGCCAGAAAAAGTCTCACACCTGATGCACTCCCAAGCCCCCCTGAGCCATCGTCAGAGCAGGCGCCGAAAAGTGGCCAAGGATTCGAAAGGCGAATTGATGAAGTTTTAGCTGCGGCAACTGCACTACGTGACGTATACGTATTCAGACAGCAGCGTCGGCCACGCCCAAGAGGCGGCAGGAACTCATGCTCACACTTATACACTTTCACAATGTGAAGAGGAGTATATCTGATTGAGTCTGTGTGTGTTGATCAGATTTCGAGATAAAGTTTACTTAATTCTAGTGATGTAGACAAATGATGAGTGCGTCTGAGAGCATTGAGCCGTCAGGTAGACCAAATTTCGCATATAGCAAACTAATAAACTTCTCTTCTCATATTGAAATAATGGCAGGGGCTTGAGACTGAATCGGAATAAAGATTTATAATGCAAGCACAACTGACTCACAGAAATGATATCTATATTTGGTATGGACAGATCAATTAGTCATTCATATTGAAGATTTGAAGAGAGCTTATCTAAGGCCTTATGCAAATAATTGCAGTCTCGGCTATCAAATTTCGAAATAGATTGTGTGACGATCAGGGTGACCAAATTGGCTTGTCCAAAAAAGGTTGACTTGTGCCAAGGCTGACCATATCTATTTGGAAAAATGCTGTAAAGTTTCTCTATAGATGTACTTGTATGTTTCTTATGAAAGCCATCACAACATCACAGAATTATACCGACCAAAATTTGAGATCTTTGAAAAGTTACTGTACAGATTGCCTTTAGAGTAGCTTAATCAAAAATACTAAAGCGAGGAAAATAAAAAACCTAAAGCAATAAAACAGCTGATTTAAATACTGTTAGCTGCAGTCGAGCATTACGCAGTCGGTTGTACTCGATTGCCACATTTTGAGTTGTTCGTCTCTTTGTGGCCCTTCGTTAAGTTTGTATCCTTTGAGTTTTCGTATTCGTTTTTCTTTGTCTGTGCGCAACAACAAAGCAAATGCAATTACAACGCAACGTGCACGAGTTTTTTGCACTCACTGTGGCGCATTCGGCAGCCAAGCTAAATTGGTCTAGCAAATGCTTTTTGCACGGCTTCTACACTCTACAACTAGCTCTACTCTTATAATTTTTGCACTTTTGTGCACTACTGTAGAGTTGTTGCAGCCGTTAAACGCTTCATTGCCGCCTGCCGACTGCCACCTTGTTTTTGTTTTTTCTTCTTCTTTTCTTTTTTTGCCATGCGCCAATTGCCAAAAGTCCAACAAATGTAGCTAGTCGAAGTGGCAAAAAATATTCAAGTTTTTATGATAGGACTTTAAACACACTTTCTTGTTGGATGGATGTGAAGAACTAGAATGTTGCTGTAAGCGTGGCATAAAGTCTGGGATTCCTAATACAGATTTAAGGAATCATATCCATGGAAAATGGTTGCACAAGTTAGATATATTATTGAATAATATAGAGCCTGGCTTGAAGAGCTATATGGAGAAGAAAACTTTTTCTCATCCTTTTTTGTTTTTGATCTAACAAACTGAATCAAAATAGAAATAGAAAAATTTCTTTCATCTGCATTATATTTATTATATTCCTTGTTTAAAAAACAGACGAGAGACAGACTTTTATTTTCCAATTTTAATGCAGCACATTAAAAACTTTTTGAAAAATAATGAAAGTTTTTAGAAAGTTAGATTTCTGTTTACAGCTTTTTCTTGTTGATCTAATTATTATTTAAAGCTGAGTCTAAGCTTAATGTTTACTATGAAGTACTTAAATTATTGCAACTTTCCACACTAATATATATTTCTTTAAAAAAAATGCAAATCAAATTTACAAATCAACAAATTCGCTCTGTTGTGTTTTTGGAAGAACATTGTGAGCATTTTGCGGTAAGAAAAACCGCAATTGCAATTCCATGTTAAAAATCATGCTCGTTCATTATATATACACGAGGTAAAGCTCTGGCGACATATTTAGGGTAGCAGGTGCTTGAAATTTGTGAATATTTTGGTAGAACCCTTTGGCTAGGGTATAAAAGGGCTGGTGCTCACGTTCAGGCGCTTAATGCATGACACGTTTCGCTTTTGGGGCGTGCCCGTCTGCTGCCTGCATATACATATATATGTATATATATCTTTTTTTCGCCAGTTTGTTGGAGCATAGCAAGTGTCATAAATATTCTTTGGCGTTGCTTTATTTCTTGCCACGCAGACGATGGAGACGAGCAGTTTATCAATAATGCAAAACATTCGAGCGAGGGGTGTTTACACCCGAGTCGCCACCGAGGGGAGGGCGAACTGTCAGTCGAGCGGCATAAGTTGCTTGGGCAACAGCTCCTTGGTTCCATGACACCCCGCCCCTTCAGGCTGCCAGGCGAGCTTCGTTTCGCATTTCGCATTCGCATTCTGATTCTGATTCTCATTCTCATTCCTATTCCCCAACGATAGCAGCATCAGCATCAGCAGGAGTAGGAGCAGGAGCAGGAGCAGGAGCAGCATCGGCATCAGCAGCCGTTGCATTTGGTGTGCATGTTTGTCGATTTGACTACGATTGCGGAAACGTATACAGTTCGTTGATCATTATCCGGTTCGTGAGGCTTTCTGGGCAATCCGTTTGCCAGACACGTGATGTTGGCCACCAGAGTCTTGGCGCTATTGAGCTCACTTATTACCGATGCTGGATTCTGAGTGGGGTATTTAGTGTATTGACAACTAAAACACATTTCAATTGCTGGACACCAAGGCGTGAGAGCTTTGCCTATTCCCCGGCTTATGCTTTGGCCCAAACGAAGTGCTGAAAATTATCCTGGCCGGCCTGGCTAGCTGGCAGCCACTTTGCCAATTGGCAGCTCGACTCGGCTCGGCCCCGATCCGGCCCGGCCCATAGGCATTACTGGCGCATTTAATGGCACTCTATGGACCGCTAATGGAGCGTGTTGTAATTGCATTTCGTATATATTTCTTCCAGTACATACATAAATTCGTTCGATAGCAAATGTGGCTTTGGACTCTGCAAATCGAGTGCATTTCCGTGGCACAAAAAGTGCATACAAATTACGATTTGCTGAGAATTCGTTGCTAAACTACTGAAAATCGTTAACTAATTGCAGATGAGGGCTTAAATGTTGCAGTAAGCAGATAGGCGTGTATATCTATAGATCTGATTCTGAATATATTCAATTTGTGCATTTTTGTCTATTGACAGTTTCATATAGAACTATCAGGAATCCAAATCAGATCTCTGTCAAGCATAGATATGTATTCCATAGTGCAGCGTAATGAGGCAATCCGATTTTAGCTATGCATGTATGTTTGCCTCTCTCATAGTGTCTCTCTCTGTCCATGAAAAGAGGAATTAGAGATCACTTGAGTTGAGTATACGTATGCAGCAGTATGCATTCGGTATTTATATTTAAGTTAAACGAAGCTAGAGTGCATGCAGCAGCAGAGAGTGCTCCCATTGGTCACTTGGAGTTCGACTGCTACGACCTCTACCTGGCGTTGAGCTCAATAAGGTGCCCTATATAAAGGGCAGCAGCTGCAGCATTTCTTCAGTCACCCAGACCTAGTGGGGGTCAGTCGTGCAGTGCAGTAAAAGTAAAGAGAAGCGACTTCAGCGAAGCATGATCGTTCAGCTAAAGCATTAAAGATTTAGAGGAAAGATTTAGTGGAAATACTTGGAAGGAATACTTTGAGGAAATGCTTGATACAAATGCTTGGAACAAATACTTAGAGGAAATACTTAAAGAAAATATTTAGTGGAAAGAATTAGATTAAATGCTTCAAAGAAATAGAGGAAGTGCTTAAAGGATATACTCAAAGAAAAAATACTTAGAGGAAAACAATAAAATGTTAGCTGTTTTAAAAATGCGATCAATAAGAATATTGACAAAAATTTTGTATATTTTAACACATTTTGTACAACTTATCTTAAAAGAGTGTTATATTTCTTTGTTTTATGGACCATTAAAGGCGAATCGACCATGCTGCATGGCACAATCTAATTGTCTAGACACATGTGTTTGTGTGTGTGTGTATATATATAGAAATATCAGGCATTTTTCGTTGGCTTAAGTCAATAAACGTAATTGAAACGTGGCACATTTTCGAGCCGATGACAGGCGCTGGAAATCGCATAAGAAGCTCCTGCTGCTGCTGCTGCTGCTGCTCAAAATCAAATTAGAGCAAACGCGAGGCACTTGGAAGGAAATGCGCACTGCAAGTCACAGGAAACAGGAAAGCGCGGAGGCAGTGCAAAATCAAATAAGAAAATCGGATTGAATTGAAGCTGAGGTAAAGGTAAAACGGTAAACGCTGATTTATTGATTTTCAAGCAGCGTCTTTGACATTCTCCATCTGCTCTACATAGAAATTAAATAAAAACCAAGACAGCGGGAGAGCCAATCTTGCCTTTGTGTTCTGCCTGTTGCAAATTTTGGGGAGGAAAAAAAAGATGCAACAGCTCCACATCTTAGGTGGAACAATGTCAATTCAGACACTTGGGCACACCAAAAATTGTATTTACAAAACATTTACTTCAGTCCGTTGCGTGTCTTTTTTATTTTATGTTTCATTTAATTTTTATTTTTATTTTATGCTTTTTTGTCATTTGGCGCTGCTGCTGCCGTCGCCGCTGCCGCCGCTGCTGTTGCTGCTGTTTGTTTGTTGTTTGCGTTTGGCGTTGAGTAGCGGAAATAGTAAAAGTTTTCTAATGAGAAAAGTTTACACACAGAGACAGAAAGGAAGCACGTAGGAGCGAGTGAGAGAGATGGAGGGAGAGTGTGTGAGAGAGAGGGCGAACCAGTAGAGCTCTTCTAAGATGTAGGCAACGGACAACCCGTACAGAACGAGCGGCTCCGCCAGAGCCAGCGGAACCAGTGGAACCAGCGACGCTGTCCACATTGGCGACGAATTTAATCATCTGCCTTTACAGTTCCTCCTACTCCTACTCCTACTGCTACTGCTACTGCTGCTGCTGCTGCTGCTGTGTGCGCGAATGTGCACATCAAAAACTAAACACGTCAAAGTAAGCAACGGAAATGAGAAAAAAGTGCGCTTATTTATTTTGTACTCTTTTCCAACAATTTCGTTTTTGTCGCCTACACCTCTATTTGACTTGGTTGACAGCGAGACAGAGAGCGAGATGGAGAGAGGAGGGAGAGGGCGAAAGCTAAAGAAAAAGACATAGACAAAGACACAGGCGCCCAACGCCTTTCGGCACGTCAACATCAAAGCGTGTTATAATTTTCAAATTATGCAAAGCTCTGCTAAATGTGAACGTGAACTCATTCCAACATTTTGTAGTGCCGGATAGCACGGTTGAATGTCACAAAGGGAGCGCCAGGCTCGCATCCAGCTGTTAAGTGCCCGGTCTGCATTAAGTGTGCCATGTTCCGTTTAATGTAGCTTGGACAGATCGTATTTGAGATTCGTATAATTTATGTAGGAGAGATTGTGTAAAATACAATTGGGTAAACATTGGCAGACTCCGTCAAATTAAATAATGTTAAATAATTGTACAAATTATTGTTTACAATTATTAATAATATTAAATATTAATAATACTATTTATTTAATAATACTATTTATTTAATAATACTATTAATAATACTATTTAATATATTTTTATTCTTTTAATAAAATTATGTATACTAATTTGTAAATTTTATTTTTATTATGAATAATTATTTTAATAAATGATATGTGTATATTTTAAATAATTGTAGGTCTTTGTAATAATATTAACAAAAATAATTAAGATGTCACGGCAGCAATGAATGCTAATATTTGAATAATAAAATGCTTTTTATATCCTAACCCCATTGAATATGGGAAATTTGAGTAAATGTTTTTGTAAAGAGTATGTAACAAGGCAGAAGGAGGCGGGGTAGACCCCATAAAGTATACATAGTCTTGATCAGGGCGACGAGCTGAGTCGAATTATAACTCACCTATATCCACCCCCTCTCCCTTAAATTTGTAGAAGGCGTATTTCAAATACTAGAGACTTGCCAATGTTATAAACGAAGTTAGTCCATCAAGAACGGAATTAAATTCCCGTAGTAAACACATACTGTAACAAACGCGTGTTTATGCGTGCGTGCCTATGTATGTGTGTCTGTGTGTGTTGTTTCTTGCGTGAGCAGAAAGACGCAAAGAATTATTGACATATGAGTTCCTCGTGGGGTTCAGTGGAGTTCATAGTCGAGCAGTCTCGAGTAGAGCATTCTTACTTGTGAATCTTCATTCATTATTATTATTCGCAAAGATTTTAATTGGCATCTAATTTAAAGAGCACCTGAAATATGTGAATTGTTTTATTATATCACATCTCACACGTCAAGTGCCCGCCCACAACACGCCCTCACTCTTTTTCATATGCCGCCCTTTTCATGTTAGTGATTGTATCTTGAGGATTCATGTTACGTTATGTCATTCGGCAGCTGCTAATAACTTGCATGATTTAATACACAATTTAATTGTTGACCCTGTGCGATACGTATCGGCAATTATTCGGTAAGCTGACATTTTACAAGATTTCGGATAGCGTTTAACAAGCCAATTGAAATGGCACAGTCCCCATGGAGCTAGGGGTATATAAGAAGCTGCCCGACAGAATGCAGGCCAGCAGCGAGAAGTCTCCGTTTCCCCAATATAAACGGCAACGTGACGATCCGAAAATGAAGTTATTTTGCGCTATTTTGCTTGTTTACGTGGTGGCTTTGACACTGTTCGGCGTGGACGGACGCGGCGGTGGGGGCAGTAACAAGGGCCTAGAGGTATGCAACAGCTAAATACTAACTATTTAATACATATTTGTCCTAAACAATCTTTTGATGCAGGACTCGATGCGACTGTTTGTGCGGGTAAGATTGCTTTCAGTTGAATAGCGGAAAACGTTCAAATTTCTCTGCCCTCAAGACGCGTCGCCAATTAAGCCTTAGTGAAGAGGAATTGAAGCGGCGACGCTTTGAGGGCTACAAGGCTTTACTTATGCGATTTTGCCAATGCCTATTAATTCTAGGCACGGCGCCATGCCCCCGTCACTAACATGGGACTTGCGACCGGACCTGGCTATGTGAAGAACGAGGAGCAGCCGCCATCTCAATTCAGAGTAAGTCACTAGACGACAAAGATCAATATGTTTATATTATGATGATGATTATTATAATACGACCTATGATTTTAATATGTTACCAGTCGCGTCGCAATGTCATGAACAACGATCCAACGAGCCATGAGAACAACGAGGAACAACCGCCACATATCAGAGTAAGATTCATTTTTGCATAGCCAGGCATTATAGCTGGATAATTTTAGCCTTTGTCCTCGTAGACCTCATAGGGGTAATTCCTTGGAAAATACTCTACTACTCTATTCTATCCCATTCACAGCGAATTCGTCAGTTGCCCGGTCCAGGTTTACCCACTCCCCCCCCTGGCATGCCCGGCCCACCCATATAAACCAATTAATTAATTAATTAATTAATTAATTATACATAATTCACAAATAGAGTACCGCTCATGTGCATGTCAAAGGGAACTAAACGCTAACGAAACCAATAAAACTTGTCTAAGGCATTCCAAAAACATAATCCCGCAAACTTGTTGCTAAATTTCCAGGGGATATCGTTGCATCGACCCAACTCTTTTGCGAATTCCTTGAAGCTCTCTCCCATAGATAATCAATTCGATATGAATAAATATTTAAATACATTTATATTTAATCCACAGCCACGTCGCCAAGCACCGCCGCCGCCACCTGAGGGCATGCCACCACCGCCTCAGGGTATGCCACCACCACCCGAGGGTATGCCACCACCACCAGCTTAAGGATACGAAATAGTTAAATATTCTTCACATACACATATCATATAGTAAGGCGCTTGCTTAGGGTAAGGGAACCACGTCATAAACGAGAACTATGCGTATAATAAAATCTATTTCAAGCATTCCAAAAACAAGATTTCCGATCCCATAAACCATTTTACATTTCTCAGTAGTAATTTGCGCTAATCCTTGCCGGCAGCTGCGCACACATGAAACAGGTAGATCCTGGCCAAGGGTTACCTGTTCGGATCTCGTATTTAAGAGGCTGTCGCCAGCTTAGTTCAGTTCATTTACAGATCGTACTCCCTGAAGATGAAGATCGTTGCGTTTTGCTTGCTGAGCAGTCTCACTGTTGCCCTGGTGCTGGCCTTTCCTGCTAGCCACAATGCAATTGATACTGTGCCAACTGCTGAGCTGCCTCCTGCTGCGAGTGCCAATGCAGGAGAGGGAACCACCGCTCCGTCATCAACAACTGATCAGCTACGTCGGCCACGTCATCTTCTGACGAAACTATTCAGCCCCCAGCCCCAGGTGATTGTGCAGCCCATTGTGGTGCAGCCACCGCATCATAGCCCCTATCCCAATACGTATATCTACAACGGGGGCGGTCGAGGCTATAACAATGGCTACGGCGGAAATGGATACTGGTAGAAGCATTGAAAACTTGTCGAAAATTTAATAAACGAAATTTTCCCTTGAAGCACGCATTTTATTTTTTTTTTTTTAATTCTTGTTACTTCCGCATTTTATGCAAAGTTAAATTTCCTTCCACGCAAATCCCTTAAGTCCAAAACAGTCGTCGACTTGACGGCAGCAGTCGCCGTCCGCTCGTCCGCAGTCCTTTCTAATGCCTAATTAGGCATGCTCGGCACGTAAGTCTAATTCCCGAAAACTTGGCGAAGGTCGCGCCTCGTCAGTTGGACTGCGAGATTTTCCAATAATTCCAATACCCGCCGACAGTCTGCGGACAGTGAGAAATTTGTGAACTGGTTCGGTTCATCGATAATTAAAAAAAAAAACATACATAATGTAATATATAAAAATATATATATATTAAAAAAAAAAAATATATATATATATATATGAAAATATATGAAAAATATTTAAAATATTAATCCAGTTAAAAAAAACTATATTAAAAAATTTATTATTACTATTCTATTAGTTATTAGGAATTTCTTTTATTAATTAACATTAATCATTATTTTTTTAATGTATATACCTTTTGTTTTTATATTTAAAGTTTTTATTTTAACATGATAATAAATTAATCAAGCATGATAATGAAATCTCCAGTTATTTGAAATTTAACTTATTCGAAATTTCAAGATTTTTCAAGGTATTAAATTTTTGAATTCCATTCGAAATATATGTAAATAGAAACTTTTGCTGATTGGCATAGTGACAAGGTACAAAATGAACCAGTTCATGAAATGATTAGTGGTCCTTTTAGATCAACGAGCTAGTTTTGTTTGCCAGCCCTGCACAACTTCCACCTGGGGACTCATCATTCATCAACTGAGCAGCGCGCCCATGGGGTCCCAAATGGGCAGTTCCTCGCTGGGCTCGTCGCGGAGCGCTTGCATCACGCCTGGCGGCACAAAGCGTGCGTCGACAACTATCTCAAAGGCATACTCCCGCAGCCAGTCGACGTGCAGGACGGTAGCTTGGCCCATGGATGCTTTGCGCTTGGCTGACTCTGCTTCGGCTGCATCTGCTTTGGTTTTCGCATTGTCGACGGTATCGGCAGCATCCTTTATACTCCCCTCGGATTCTGTATTTTGAACGGCATTAGTCTTTGCTGTCTTGCGTATCGTGCCAAATCGCAGTGGCTGCTGCAGTGCGTCCAGCGAGACCTCGGTCACCAGCAGCGACGTATTTCGACTCGTCGCCCTATAGAGCATACGGTCCGCCTTGTTTAGAGCTGTGCCCACCGGCATGCCGAATACCTGCTCGAAGTTGTGCGTTTTCAGGCTGAGCACTCCTTCGTTGTTCTTGAATATGCGCTGGATATCGCATGCCAGCCACACAGCCGAGCCAGCGGCCAGCGACTTGACCATGACCTCAAGCAGTACATCCATGGGCTGGTTATTGTAGCTTTGCAGCAGTCCGCCCATCAGGTTGGAGCTATGGGCAATGCAATAGTTGCGCCCGTAGCTGGCACTCGGGCGGGGATCATGGCCCAGACTCACCCAGGCATCCAGCGCAAAATGGGGCGTTATCATGCGCTCATAGAAACTGCGCGGCGTAAACAGAGTCTCCTGCTCTTCGTCCTTTAAGTCGAGCGTAAAGCTCGTGGGCGGCGTGCCCAAGCAAATGTTGATTACCTTATAAAGATCTGTGAGCATGGACTCGACCATTGGGGGCAGCTTCTGGGCATTCCCATCTGAGACGAATTGCTCATGCAGCTGGCTGCTAAACTCGTGCAGCTGTAAGAGATTTGAGAGTTATCTTAATCCAGCAACACATAAGGCATACATACTTTACTCTTGAGCATCCGATTAAGGTGCAGGGTGTGGGTCGAGGACCAGCTGGCCAGATAGGACTGCTTGGGCATTACGCCGTATTTCTTGACCAGATTCACGAACATCTGCCAATTGCCGCCATCGGGCACGGTGTGCTTCATCAGGTACCTGAAGGTGCGTCCCTCAACCGGCTCTCCGCGCGCTAGACACTCGATCACAGTATTGAGGAAGTAGTTACAGCGCTCAAGCTTATGCCAGTAGAACAAATACGGGGCGGATAGTTCGTAATCTTTGCGCAGACCATGACGCAGCAGATCCAGGCCCGTGCAGATCCAATGCGGACCGTCAACGCTCGACTTCTTCAGCCTGGCCACCTCATGGTGCTCCTTGCCGCCCACCGTCAATTCCTGCAGATTGGCGCGCTGGCATGCGCTGATCGGATCCCCACGAGTGCAAATGTTTTGCGCCAGCCGGTTCAATGGCAGGCTGAAGAACTCGGAGCGCCACTTGGACAGCTGGGAGCTTTGTAGTGCGAGGCCAGCGGCATTTGGCGAAATACTCATTTCATGAACTTTAGACAATTTTTTGTTGATACTTAAGAAAATAAAATTAGATTTCTATTTTAATGCAATAGAAAGTGTGACCAGCCAACCTTCTATACATCAATTTCCTAATACGGCATCAGGGCTGCAAAAATTGACTAGTGGAAATGTAAATCTTGCATAAATGTGAAATTTTGCATACAGAGTTTGAGTTTCGGTATTGTTGAAATCAGAGTTACATATATAAACCTAATAGGCTAAAAAATTTTGTATAGTTTCTGAGAAAAAAGCTTTAATTTTTTTGGTATTATTTTATAATATTTATTTTAATTTAATTAAAGAGTAAGCATCAAATTTGTCCATCGCTACTTCCAAGTTAAGCTCACATATAAATATTTTGTCATTTGATTTGATGATGAAACTTGTCATACTGAGAGCGATTCAAATTGGGGGCGTATAAGCTGCAGCTTAGCTAGATGCCAAAGTTATCATTCGAGCGTAGCTCCCACACAGCAAACAACAAATCTCAGTTGAAGTTTTTAGCATCGTTTTGCTTGAGAGAGAGAGAGAGAGAGAAAGATGGGAAGAGAGGCATATTCAAGGTTAATTGAAAAGTCATTTAAAATCTATTTTGATTTTGATGATAATCAGTGTGTAGATGATCCACATATGTATGTATATACATATAATAGAGTAATCAATAATTATTATAGAGTAATAGACCCGCAGTGATTTATCATGTAGTTGAGCGTATCCAAGGTCTGTTGCTGTTTTTTGTTGTTTACACTCATTGACAGATTCTCTGTTTGTATTTGATTTACTTTATATATTCTGTATTGCTCGTTGTTATGCAAAAACGACAAAATCAATATTTTTTGGCTCGTAGCGATTAGTTGAAGTTTGTATAGCATCGAGATGAGACATTTAGTCAAAGTGAGGCTGCCTCTGCTGCCTCTGCTGCTGCTGCTGCTGTTGATGACGCACTTGACTGTGACGAAGCCCCAATATTCATATGGAACTGGTTATGGTGGATCTTTTATGAATAGCAATGGTGTCGGACCCGTTAGGCAAGCAACTAATGGACTCATAGGATCTCGATATAGTGGTGGACCTTTTGGAAATTCTGGCTATTTAATAGCCGGTAGCAACAGTGGAGGACCATTTAGAGTTACTGGTGGTCAGGAAGGTCTCATATCTGGAAATCAATATGGCGGGCCTTTTGAAAATACTCAAAATTCAGTTAATGCTGGCAGCAGTGGAGGATTATTCGGACAAGGAACTCGTGAGCATGGAGGTATCATAGCAGGACGTCAAAGCGGAGGTCCGTTTGGAAATGGTGCTAGCAGTGGCGGATCTTTTGGACAGGATCAACAAGGTCTAGTTACAGGAAGTAACAGTGGAGGACCTTTTAACGTAAATGTTGGTCAGGAAGGTATAATCACTGGAAATCAGAATGGGGGACCTTTTGGAAATACTCAGAATTCAGTTAATTCTGGCAGCAGTGGAGGATTATTCGAACAAGGAACTCGTGAGCATGGAGGTATCATAGCAGGACGTCAAAACGGAGGTCCGTTTGGAAATGGTGCTAGCAGTGCACAGGATCAAGGGCTAATTACAGGAAGTAACAGTGGAGGACCCTTCAACATAAATGTTGGTCAGGAAGGTATAATAACTGGAAATCAGAAAGGGGGGCCTTTTGGAGGTGCTGCGAATGGAGCTGCTGATGGATTGGTTAACAGTGACGGCTGTGGAGGTTCATTCGGACAAGGAAATTCTCAAGTGGCGGGTGGTTGCAACAGTGGAGGACCATTGCAACAAGGAAATAATGAATTAATAAGTGGTAAAAATAGTGGAGGTCCTTTTCATGTAAATGTTGACCAAGGCGGCGGTCTCATAGCTGGAGGTCAAAATGGTGGACCCTTTGGAGGTGGATTGATTGGCGGTGCCGGCAGTGGAGGACCCTTTGGTAAACCAGACGGACTTATTTCAGGTGGGAGCAATGGTGGACCTTTTAACAGTGGGCAGCAGGGTGTTATATCGGGTGGACAAAACGGAGGACCGTTCGGGAGTCAGGCATCTAATGGATTAATAAACGGCAGCGGAAGTCGAGGACCTTTTATATAAGCGGCAGAATTAATTAAATAAATGTATAGTCATAATTTTGATTGAAATCGCAAGAGTCATTGAACTCTGTGCTGGCAGCTGTGTTTTGTTTCCTCGTTGTTGTTTCCTTCTCTGAAATGATACAGATAAAGCTAACAATTGTTGAAATTGATTTGCTGATTTATGCGTCTGTTGTCTCCGCAAAGAGCTGCAAGTCGAAAAATGCAGTCAAAGTCATGCAATATGCAATAGTCGCTCCCCATTCCGATCCCGATTTCGACCAAACCTGAACTCGGGGCAACTAACATTTTTGTGCTTGTGCAGCCAGGCGTTGATGGAGACATTGGCCAGGGGAAGGCGGGAGAAGTGATAAAAAGTGTACGTGTGTGAGAGAGAGAGAGAAAGAGAGAGAGACGAACGAGACAGTGCTCGCTCTGCTCTGCTTGTTATCTGTGAAGCAGATTTCTACATAGCAATGCTTTGTGGCGCTTGTTGCTGTTGTTGTTGCTATATTTAGCCGCCCAGACGCAATATATATAAAGTTTAATTGATTGGAAAATCAAATTGATTCGATTCGAGCAACAAAAGCAATGTGAACGCCCCAGGCTCGGCTGGACCGCATCGCACCCGACCAGAGTCCAACACCCAGCCAGGTTAGCCAGAACCTGTGGAACAGTTAGTCGCAGCTTATATATATTCGCCACTGAATGCAACTGCGTCCTTTTAATGGTCTATGCATTATTGTTTGGCCTCTGATCATTGTTTCCCAACTGCCCCAGACTTGTGTTAGTTTTTGTGTAATGTTTTCATGTGGCATAAATAAGTCTCTTGGTGGCAAAGGCAATTGGAAACAGAGGTTTGCAGCCAAACCAAGTGGATTCTGAACTCGGTTAGTTCATAATTTAGTAGCTTGTTTCTGGTGTTCCGGCAAGCAACCGTTCGAGGCATAACATAAAAGAAATCTTTGCTACTACATATGAGTTACACAGAAAGAAAACTTCAAGAAATTTAATCACGTCTCCGATTTTGGCTTAACTGAATGAATGTGTATTTAATTTAATTAAATTAATGATTAAAAAATTAAATAAATATAAAATATATTATTTAAAATAGCTCTGACATTATTTGAATGTATTTTATTTTAATTTGTAAATTTGAATTATATTATTTATAATAAAAATTAAAAATAAATTAAGGTATATAACTAAAAAAAAATTTCATTTATAAACTGATTGATGATTGAACCGATGATATTTTAATAAATAAAAAGTCGAATTTGTTGTATATTATTATATATTTATATGTAATAAAATAATAAAAAACAAAGCATTTAATTTATAAACATGCATATTTAATAAATCACACATTATAAACTAAAATAAAATTATAAGAATACAAAATTTTCAACCACCTCTATAAAAATGCTCTTCAAATTTTAGCTGCTGATCACTGTACTTATATGTATTTTAGCTGTCTTCGTTGTTGCTTATATGAGAACTCCCACACAATATTATAACAGCACTTTGTAGTAGTTGTAGCTCATTTAAGTGGCGTTATTTCTCTCCCGCTCTGGAGTTTTCTAATTCTCATTTTCTATTCTCACGTTTGAGCAGTCAACAACTCAGCTATGCCAGCTATCATTAACAACACGGCAAAACCTGTTTAATTTTTATTGTTCAACTTGCTCCGCAGTCGAAACGAGAAAGAGAGAAACTAAATAAACGCAAAGCGTAAATTGCAGTTGGTTGGGGCAGCTATAGTCTAGCTGAAGGGTGGGGGTGCACCCAAACAAAAGCTCACAACCTCAGCTCAGCTCGGCTCAGCCCACCTGCTCAGGTGGGGCTAATGTGACTGCTCAATGAATGCCAACAGCCGATATGTTTAATGGCCAGCAATACAAAAACTTTTACCTACAACCGAAAGCTATTCAATTGAAAATAATTAGCAGACACATAGCGAAACTTCTTAATTGCCTTAGCATTCGTTGCGAGTTGGGAGAGGAGACACCAAAGAGAGAAAAAGCAGATGAGAGCGTTGCTTCATGTGAACTTGCTAGCCGCGTGAAATATGTGCAAATGGGTGTGCTCGACTAAGACATACTGGGCAATAAAATAAAATAAATAAATCAAAATAATAAATATACAATTGAAAAAAAAAAAAAACCTGCATCAATTTATTTTTGCAGAGTATAATTAATTATTTATTCAAAAATTATTATTCATAATATTTATAATAATGTAATAATGATTTCATATCATCAGAATATATTTTAAGCGATATGAAATTTTGTGCTCAATTTTAATTGCATTTATTGTTAGTCAGAAAATTTCTATACCTCCTCTTGTGATCAATTCTGAGCAGGGTATTGTAAAACGTAAACAAATAAGGTCATGATAATCAGTGGGCGCAGACAGCCACAATCGCCTCATGCATATAGATTGATTGTCTACCCGAAGACATTGTATGTTACCCTTCTGCTGCACGTCGTCGTAGCCCTCTCTGGAAGCACTTTCATATAAAGGCGTGGTATTATTTAAAACTCATTCATTTGAACTTCTTGCCTTGACCATGCAGCACACTCATCAATTCATTTTCGTGCTTTCTCTGCTCGTTGCACTGCTCAGCGGTAAGACTTCCTATATATAGATTATATACATCAGCATATATTTATTTACATATTATATGTTTCGTTGAAGCTGTCAACGGACTGCCGTTCGGACTTAATTGGGGCCCCTCTTCCAATCAGGGACCCAGCGGCGGACCAGCCTGGAATGGTGGGCATGACCAGACAACCGATTCTACACACTATAATCAGCACTCAAATGGCGGGGGCAAATGGCGCTATTGAATGATCATACGACTTATGAAAAATTAAAAATTTTGCAGTTGCTTATGAGCAAGTGATTTCAATTTGACCATTTTCATTTAACTGATTATTTTTAGATATTTGTCAATTATTTATAAACATATAAAACAACTTTAAGGCATGGCTATAAAAAGAAATAAAAAACCTGTGCTTACATTGTATAATTTAATTTATTTATTTTAGTTTCTATAAATTTGTTCAATTTAATTTTTATTTACGTCGAATTTTTACGAGGTATTGCAATGAGGTTTTACCCTGAGTTTTATGCATAGCTGATATTCATTTTACTTTTTTCTAATATATAAAACAACATATACATCCGCACACGTAGGCGCATCGGTTGAAGAGGAGGCTGCGCTTGAGCTGCGGTACAGACTCTCGCTATGGAAAAATTAATTGTTGAATCACGATGAACTTTTCTAATGAAATTGACATCTCAACGAGTGCATACACAGGCAAATGGCCAAAGCACAAGTATTTAATGTATTGTATTATAATGTATGGATAAGAAGCACATGTTCTAAACATTAATTTGACTCCAGTTTGAGCTCTGTTGATAGTGAAGAACATTTGCCAACTTGTATTTAAACTTGAAATAAATTCAATCTCTTTAATGTTCATCTACTCATTTATTTTTCACATTAACTAAAAGAGCTGAACTTTCTTTAGATTTAAATTTAATTCAGTTTAAGGTAGACGGTTCTCGCTTATAGCTAATGAGCATCGTGAAGGCCATTTAGTACGACCCTCGAAGAGCACTGATAATTCATGTTTAACTACACTATTTGCGTTCGATTAAAGTAAATAGATAAGTATATATGTACATGCATTTGTACATTCATGTGTATTTGCGCTTATGCTCTCTTTGTCTTATAAGCTGATAAGCCATCGGAATTCTCGTGTGTATTCCCCATCAGAGCGATAAACCTGTGACCTAAGTATGTACGTTCGAGTGAGCTTAAAGAAACAAGTATTCTCTGAGGTGCGAATGCAAATGTTTGCCATGAAGGGGATTTCCCAAGTGCTATTTGCGCTACTTGTGACAGGTATATGTATATACGTATATACATACGTTTATATAAATATATTTACTATCAGTTAAGATGAATTATACATACATGCATGTGTACATTTAAGAGCGCATATTATAGTATTGTGCACACTTCAATGAGTTGAATTTAATATTGAAGCCCTTAATTTAATGTATAAAAAAAAAATATCAAACTTGCAAATACTCTGTAATAATAGCAAATGATTAAGAATAACTGAATACAGTTCATACATTTTCTTAAAAATTTCTGTTAAGTGAATTCCTATATAATAATAAATATTAGAAAATATTTTTAATTTTTTAATATAGACAAAATTATAAGGAATGAATAATAATAATATTTTTTTCCCTATATAATAATAAATATTAGATAATGTTTTTAATTTTTTAATATAGTCAAAACTATAAGGAATGAATAAAATTAAAATATTTTTTTAAATTATTTTGTATGCAAGCAAAAAAGTCGTTCTGTTCGAGGTAAAGGACATTTATTAGTCGGTGATTCTATTTTCATATTTCTTATGTTTCTTTCTTACTATCAAATTAAAATAATTCATTTGAATCTAAATTTTTTATGTATATCTCACTGTTTTCTAATTTGTTCTTGCCGCTCTCTCAATTATCTGCCAATTTATGTGTTTGCGACAGTTTAGATTTTCTTTGTTTTGTTTTTTGCTATTTATACTCATTCATTTTCTTTTGAGCATTTCACTCAGATTCGCTTTGACACTCAAGGTTTTTGGTCGTTCGCGAGGCGGGAGCCGAACTCGTCAAACAGTTTCGAGACGATCTCAGAGCGATCGAGAATTGCAAATCGTGTAGAAGCGGAACGACTCGTCATAATCATTTCTGGCTTTTTCCCCAGAGGTTGCATACTGTCGACCTCTCTGCGATATCTACCCACACGTTCAATAATACATTGAATATAGTACTCAATCAATCGGCCGTATAAAAAGCGAGCGTTTAGCACTGCGTTTCTATAGTTAACCCGTTGCACCAATTCAACATGTCTCGCCTTCTCATTATGATCGGCCTATTGGCACTCGGCGTTTGCTTGGCCAGCGGTAAATAGTTTTTAAAGGCTTGTTTATTTTTAATCTGTCAACTGATCGTTCTCTTTGCAGCACTACCAGCCCAACCCTTTGTGGATCATAGCAATGGAAAGGAGACGTCGATTCCTGGCACAACGACGCCAGAGGACTCGCAGCCAGCTCAGCGAGTGCCCAACGTCCTGTACAATCGGGCCGGCAATGTTGTGTTGCAAAACGAGGCTGGCACCATCTATAAGCGTCCCGATGGGCGCACGGTCCTAATTGGAGCTAATGGTCAGACGCTTGTGACTCGCTCGGATGAGAGTGACGAGGATACGTCCATTGATGATGATGACGATCAATTTAGACGCCAAAAGGGAAACCGCGGAAATAGCGGCAATATCTTCATATCTCAAGCCGGCGGGAGCGGCATCCAAACCTACAATGGCTACCGGAGTGAGCTTGTCGATGGTGGACTACGGCTGACCGTCAACGGTTTTACCTACAACTTCCCGGCTAAGGACGCTAGCGTCAATTCCAAGCAACAAATCAAAATCAACGGCGAAAATGCTACGCTGCAGTATGACAATGGCAACATAGTTGTCGAAATGGCCGATGGCACAGTGATTGGCAAGGCCGAAGGCGGACTCTTCACTGGCAATCGCCATTCGTACGACAACCGCAAGAAGATCCAGGAGGAACTGGCAGCCAATATTGCAACTCTTCAATACAATTTGTCTCACTTGCAAGATAATATAGCCCGGCAGATCAACCAAATTGGAATCAATCTAAACAATTTTCCTTTTTAGAGCTTGTTCCATATTGGAAGAGTAAATGTATGTATACAATTTGCTTAAATAAATAATTCAATGAACATTTCAAAACTTTTTCAACTGGTGACCTAATCATCATTTTTTTTTTGTTATTGTGCAATTAACTGTACTTTCTGACAATTCATTAAAGAAGACGAAGACTTATATATATATATGTATATATGTATATATATATATATATACTCAAATTGCTATTCAGTTCTGTTTATTGGTTGAGCACGATTCTTCTGAGAATTATTCAAATGAATTTGGATAGATAAGTGTGGGATCTTTGATGTGTGGGATTTCGTGACTTTTCGTACTTTTGTTTTGATAATGAATATAAATACACGAGAATGTCTTTCTATATTTATAAATATTTGTAGATCCCGTAGAGAACATTTAATTAGGATTATATTATATTATATAGATCTTATTTATTTTTTCTAACGCATTCTAAAAAATATACAAGTAAGATTGTATAATCATAGAGTTCGTATAGAGAAACTGTCTGCCCTTCGGCAAAAGGTGCTTCCATGCTCTCTCTCTATATAGTTCAGCCATGACATTTGGAATACTATGACAAAGTAATACACATTATGCACAATTTTTCTGTTGAGTCTGAAAAATGTGAGCCATGTGTCCCGCTGTTCGTCCTACATTTTGCACTCTTACTAATTTCAAACTGCCATACATCAGTTGAGGGTGGTGCTTTCGGGTGGGTGGGGGTTGGTAGACCACCCGCAGCTACGCAAATTCCACAAGTGACAAGCACCAGGCAGCAGCTCTGCCATTGCCATTGCCACCTGTAGACGTAGAGTCGTGGGTCCATTCATTCACTTTCTAACCCCTTGACTCCTGCCAGCACGATGTATGTGTGTGCAAGTGTATGAGTGTGTGTGTGTGTGTGTGTGTGACAAATGTGCGTCAAGTTAGTCGCAACTTATTTTACAATGGGGCGTCTCCGCTCGCAACTTTGAACTTAACTGGAGAAAAATATTTAACTTGGCGGAATCTTTTATAATTAATTCACCATACTTCAGACTTATTTCAGCGGCCTCACTTTGAGCTTACCGCTAACATGGGTCTTCCTATTCTCGAGTTGGAACGTTGAAATTTGAGTACTCTGTAGTTGTTGGTCTTGTTTGTAGGAAGGCAACAAGAATTACAATAAAAAATGGTAGACAAGAGTAAACATGTATCATTCAAATATTATGAAGAGCTACTTGCGTTAGGAGATTTGTCTTGTAGATAATATTAATTTAAAATTTAAATATATATTTATAAAATTTTTAATAGTCTTTTTTTTAAGTTTAAAAAAAAATAAAATTAAACAAGTATATTATAAATTGTTTAGTACTACGGGACTCTTTAAGACTCTTAAATGCTAAATCATAATTCTAAGACTTATATAAATGATGTGGTAGCTTCCAGATTAAAATCGAGAATGAATTTTTATAGTTTTGCAGTGTAAACAGGAAAATTAAAGCAGCGTTTTTTATGCCTCCGCTGCTTGCAACTTGATGACATAATTTTGTGACTGTATTTTTCTTACCACAGAGAAGTGGGCGGGGCAGGGCAGCTGGAGAGGTAGGGCATCCGTCAACAACTGTGGGCTGCACATAAAGTTGTCACAAGTCATTTTAACGCCTTGCCACGTGCAAAATGGCGTCCAAAGTGTCTGGTCTGTATAAGTGTTTAAGCTTTGTGTGTGTGTGTGTGTGTGTGTGTGTATTTGTGTGAGTTAAATGAAGCATGAGTGTGTGCGGTGCTTTAAATAGGGGTTTCCATGTGTGCATGTGTGCGTGTGCGTGTGCGTGTGACAAGTGACACAAACTTGCAGCTAGCTTGCATTTTGTAACTCTCACACATGGCGCGAAATGAGAAAATGAGAACAGTTCGCAAATGTTGCTGACAGCGGCACTTAGCTGCTCCCATTTCACAGCTAAAATATGGTATATATAAAATGTATATACATATATACACACATATATATATCTGGAGAAATAGCCGTCGGCTATGCGAAAATTAAAATGAGTTTTACCTCTTGGTCGACATGCTTAATTTGCTTCAAATGAGCTGTGACAAATGCAGCTGGCACAAATTGCGGCATTAATTAATAAGCCAATTATGTGGCATCCCCATACACACACATATATACTTTATATAGCTACATATATCTATGTATCAGGTCTGCTCAGCGTAGAGTACTTTTCTTTTTGGACCACCCTTCTGTCCACACTCAAGTGCTCGCACTAAAAGCGGTCATGCACACGGGTCAAGCGCAGACCGGACAAGCTGCAGTTGCTTTCTCATATAGAACAGGCCGCTCGACTAATGGAACCCTAGCACCTGAGTCAGCCTTAACTTGTAATTAGCTGGGCGCAGGACATTTTCTCAGGTAAACGAATTTTCGTAAATTGCCTGAAATGGAGAAAAATGTTTAGATTGTTCTTACATATCTAATATTTACTTCATATGAAGGCGTCTTCATTAACAATACAACAAGATTACAAGTAAAGTGATATGTCATCAGCTCTATATATATGTATATTTGTTTATATTTTATTCTAATTTTAGTTATACGACTAACAAAGACTTTGCTGATCAATCTACCATCCAATGTAACAAATTTAATTCAATTTTTCTTCGGCCATCAATAATCAGAGCGAACATGCCTATACAAACGTTGTAAGCAGCCATCTCGGTCTTACTTACGACATTCGCAATACAAGGGACTTGCTCTCTCTCTCCCTTTCATAGAATGACAATTAGAGAATATGATCAGAGTTTAGCAAAGACGCAAACCAACTCGGATAAATATTCTACAGCTGAAGCAATAATATACAAATTTTGTAATTAAAAAAAAACAAGAATTAATATGTATATCAAAACTATAAATTAAGTATTGCTTCAAAATAATATAAATAATAAATGAGTAATTAAATAAATAAATAAATAAATTAATAAATAAAAAAAATAAATGAAATAAATAAATATATAAATATATAAATAAATAAAAAAATAAATAAATACGTAAATAAATATATAAATAAATAACTAAAAAAATAAATGACTACATTTTAAAAATAAAAATTTTGCAAAATTAAAAATTGAACTTCCGCCCATGCCGTATTATTCTATAAAAAGAGTAGATGTAGTTATTTCAGCTTTAGTTCATAAACAAACAATAATTACAAAATACCAATATATCCATTTGTCAGTTTTCTTCAAGCAGCAACAGATATCGCAAAAAAAAGAAGACAGCAAAACAAGAAAAAAGGACGAGAAAAACTTCTAAGCACTTGTGCAGATAAAAGTCGAATGGATTTGTTACTTTGTATTGTGCTTGCCCTGGCTAAGCAGAAAGTTTTATCTGCTTTTGTTTGCCTCAAGTGAAAGTTAAATGGGCCAAAAGTAACCTTTATGCAGTTGTTTACTCGTATATTTGCCAGCAAAAGGCCAATGCGCTCGATTCAGATATCAGAACTACCTGCGTGAATAGTTTTGTGCATTATTCTTTTTTATATCCTTTAGTGTTTCCCTTCTTATTTACCTTTTTTTTTTTGCTCTATGCCAATTTAAACTGTAGAGGCATTCAGAAGTTGTGGCACTTATTGTAAATAGTCGTAGCAGACATTCTTCGAAATGGGTTTTATGAATTTAAATATATTTTAAGCCAAACAGTTTTGAGCCTTGTTTATTATTCTGTTTTGCTTTGTGAGCAAACTTTTTTATATATATTTTCTTTCAAATACAAAATGGATTCAATGAAGAGAAAAACTATCGAAGCGTTCTAAATATGAAGACCTTAAACTGATTTTGGACTAGGGAGATACGTATACGTAATATTTGTATACATAAATTACCACTCACTTCAGGTTGTATTAAATCAGTTTCATATAAAAGTATTCATGAAAATGAAATTTTTACCTTTCTTTATTTGAAATTAATTAATAATGATTTATAGTCTCCATTGTAGTTGGTAAAAAAAAGAGTAGTTGTGATGCGATGCAATGGCAGATATGAATCTGCATTTTAGAATAATATAATATATATTAAAAATTTGCCATGAAGCTGTGAATAATGCAATTAGCATGCGCAATTTTTAACCAAGCCCCCATTTGAGTAAAATTGAGTTAAACCACATTTTGAATAAATAACACTTGCTCAGTTACGGATATTGTTTGCTCGAGATTCCAGATGTAAACTGCAAATTGTAAGTAATTATTTTTTTCTGGGATTTCCAAACTATTTCGAATTACAAATTTCACAGAATCTTATACTGTTTTTGTTGCATATCGTATTCAACTTTTTAACTAACTTTTATTTTATTTCTGTGATAACGATTCTATTTCATACCATTTTACACAAAATCATACTATTTCATATGAAATAAATTTTTGTTTAATACTATTTGTTTTTTTGCGTTGTCCATGCTATTCCATGCTCTTTTATTATATTATGTTTATATATTTATTTAATTTTATTCATATTATTTCATACTTTGCTACGATTCATACTATTTCATATTATATCTACATTTTCATACTATTCAAATATTTTATAGTATTTCCATAATTTCATACTATTAGAAGTATGCAGTTAATATAAGTGAAGCATGGTGAATTATGATTCAAGTCCTTATATATGCTTGGCCATACGAGTTCTCCTTTGTGCAGGGCGACATCCAGTTGGCATTCTTATTTGTTTGTTTTAGTATAAGTCTGTGCATTTGGAATGCATTGCGGTAATTCTGAAGCAGCCATTACTCGCACAGTATTTCACACGCATGCAGAGAACTTTTCAACATGATTTATACGGCCCGGATACTTACTTGCGTATCTGTGACAAAGTGCTCCTTTGATTTATGGCACTTTGGCAAACAATGCACTGCGCAATGAGTTTGACATGTGCAGAGTCCGAAATTTGTTGTTGTTATTGGCAACACTCGGATATTTAATATGGGCACAAATATTTTTAACCAGTTTTCAATCAAATAAGGTGAATGGAGGGCAATTATTGTAAATTTTGGATATAATTTCGTTTCGTGTCCCCAATGGTTTCTAATTATGAATGAAAGTAATTAAATAGGAAATTGGGTGGCAAAAAAAAATAAAGAGACTAATATTTGTATAGCGAAAAATTATTATAAATAAGAAAAATCATTAAATAATAATAAAAATTTTCCAGAATAAAAAAATAAATAAATATAAATAAATAAATAAAATATATTGAAATATGCTGCCAATTGGAGATTTATAAATCTCTTATTGACTGAAATGATACCTAGATGCATATATATTCTATCAATAGTATTTACGTATATAAACTTTGCTTTTAATACAACGAATAAGATATTGAATCAGTCACTCATTTATTTCTACTTCCACCATTAAAGTAATTGAACAACTTTTCATTATTGTTTCTTGTATATTCATTAATTAATACTTAAGACAGAACTAGAACTCTCTAAACGTGATTTGATTTCTTTTGGCTTGGATATTTTTTATAATTGTCAAACATAAATATGTATATTTCGATTCACATTGATAATGATTTCTGATTGGGTTCCATTTTTTGGGGGCAAATTAATTGTCGTTATTTGGCTTCTGTCATCGCTTGGGCCTACCTGGAAGCTCTGGTTATAAGCATGATAGTCCAGGCCATCGTATCGGACAGTCACCCAGTAGTAGATCACATCGCCTGGCTGGAGCTTTTGCAGCCGATTAATATAAGTCCAGCGTCCATTACGCGGCGTGATTACAGTGGTAGGCCAGGTCTGATCACTCAGACCTTCCATTTTCTCATTGAGTTTGCCGTGGAAGGCGAACAGCGAAATTCCCGGTCCATCGGGTATGGAGACCTCAAATCCCTTTGGACTATTCACCTTGATAGTCACCGGTGGCACTTCGTAGGCGTGGCTGTTGCCCAGTGTCCCACAGACGATGAGCAGTAAGATAAGCTGCTTGACTCGAGACGTTGCTGCCCTCATGGTAACTGGCTTCAGCTCAGCGAGCGGTTATTGCTTTTGTAGTGCGCGAGACTGCGTTGTTCCTCGGCACGAGTCGAGTCGCTGTATTGTTTGGGACCAAGCCAAGAAATATGCAACACAAAGCCATTCAAATAACTTGCTTAAATACTTGCATAGCGAGAGCTTAAAGCTTTTACTTGTGGCAATGCACTGGCTAAGACAGTGAGTCCCTGTCTCATGTGTGCGGCTTGAGACGATCTGCTTTGTGCCAGTTACTCGCATTTGGCCACAACTATCTCTGGCACAGCTGCAGTCGCTTTTTCTACCTCTCTCCCTGTCCCTCTCTCTCTCTCTCTCTCTTTCTCTCTGTCTTGCTCTATCTCCAGGCAACTGCGGCAGTTACTTAAATGGTTACTGTTGTTAATGCTGCCAAGACCCAAAGAATGTTGGCCATGTATTTATGAGCATGTGTTGGCTGCATCGTCTCACACACGCCCTCTGAGAAATGTCAGAATTGTCAGCTAACCAGGCGACGTGTAAGACGTATTTAACGACCTGCTAACTATAGTTCGGGTTGACTCTGTAATAAAGACATTTTTGCTAGAGATGAAGTGTGGTTGAATCTTATATTTTAAAGGGTTTGTTATGATAGTTGGTAAGAAGGTCAAAAGCTTGATAAAAGAATAAGATATTGCGCGTAAGGAACGAAAAAAAAAAGCTTCTGTCTGATCTAAATATGGTTATGTATTTATATGAAATAATAGCTATTATATCTATTTCAAATACTCAATTGTAATAATTGCTTTGATCCATATTATATACTTTAGATGAAAATATATATAAGATTATGTTTAACTTGCTTTATATAATATATATGTGTACGTATATATTAAATTTTTCAATACAAATCTTGAGTCTATTTAAAGTTAGTTTCTTCAAAGAAAGAATCTTTAGGTAACAGCATTTAATCGCTCAGCAGTATTATAGTTTTTCTTCAGTGTAATGAGGTGAGTCTTCAGTTGTAAAATTATAAGTTGTTAGTTTTGAAAAGGTAGTTAGGATTTTAAGAATTAGGGAAATACGACACATTAGTCACGTTTAGTTAAATGTGATATTCGACAATAGCGAAATAAAGATCATTATGCAAACAACCAGACTTGAAATGTTAATTCAGATCCGGCAAACTTGATGAATCAAATTAGAATATGCTCAGAAAGTAAAGCAAGAAAAAAAGATTTTGAATGAAACTCACTAAGTGGAGCTCACACGTAAGAACATTCCAAAATCTATAATTAATTCAAATGATGACTAAGTACCGAATGAATATACATACATCTGTTGACTATAGCAGTATAAATGTATATATAAATTTACAATTAGTTTTATTTTGCTTCGCTTAAATTGAATTGCCTTTATTAATTTACAGATTCGTCAATAACATTATTCAACAATTTTGTGTATTTTTTCTTTTCATATTCACTAATTAATAATTTAGCACAGCATTAGAATTTCCTAAGCTAGAATTTAACACTTTTTGGCCTACGGCTGAGAACTTATTCAAATTTATGAAACATAAATATTTATGGTGGGATTCCCATTGACAATGATTTGTGAAATGGTTCCATCTTTTCTGGTCAAATTGATCGTCGTATTTTGGCTTCTGGCATCGTCTTGGCCTACCTGGTACCGCTGGTTATACGCGTGATAGTCCAGACCGTTATATCGTACAGTCACCCAGTAGTAGAGCACATCGCCTGGCTGGAGCTTTTGCAGCCGATTAATATAAGTCCAGCGTCCATTACGCGGTGTAACGATATCGGTGGCCCAGGTCTGATCACTCAGATCATCCATTTCCTCATTGAGTTTGCCGTGGAAGGCAAACAGCGAAATTCCTGGCCCATCGGGTATGGAGACCTCAAAACCCTTTGGACTGTTCACCTTCACCGTCACCTTGGGCACTTCGTAGGCGTGGCTGTCGCCCAGTGTGCCACAGACGATGAGCAGTAAGATAAGCTGCTTGACTCGAGACGTTGCTGCCCTCATGGTAACTGGCTTCAGCTCAGCGAGCGGTTATTGCTTTTGTAGTGCGCGAGGCTCAGAGCTTATCTTCGTTGGGGGTTTGGGGCTTTTGTTTGCTTCCATTGGCAGCTGTGTTTTTCCCGCTACGACAGCGGCACGAGTCGAGACGCTTGATTGCTTGGGGCTCTGGTGGCGGTGAATAGTGCACCAAGCCAAAAAATATGCAACCCAAAGTCACTTAAATAAATTGCTCAAATGCTTGCATAGCAATAGTCCAGGCATGAGAGTTTAAAGCTTCAGGTTGTGGCTATGCAAGGGCTAAGTCAGCCTCTGTCTGGGAGAGATATAAATAAATCCGATCTCATTTCAGTTTCTTTTGTTTCTGATTGATATTAAAAATGTCATTATTCCGAGTATATTTACAAAATAGCTTGAAATAATTATTTTGTGGCCGAATCGCCACAAAGCGGCTAAACAGCTTTGTGTCAGCGACCCAACCAGGCTGCTAGTTAATTTTTAATTGCAAGCTCGTATTGAATGTATGTTTAGTGCATTCGATTTGGGCCAGCATTAAAGGCAAACGGGGCCATTATGTGTATGCCCGCCGAATAGGTGGAGCTGACTCGGACCAATGGCAGGCGAAAACAAAGTCAAACCGCAGCAAACCGAAACTAAATAGCTAACCATTTATACAGACGATCCATCCATCTATTCATTCATTCGCTCATCCATTGCCAACTCAAACTCTGTCAATTTCTCCGACCCGGGCGCCGGGGGTCGACCCGCATTGCTGGCCATCTATCTCGATGGCCGTAGCCGTAACCGTGCCCCAAACGGCAGCAACGTTTTGCGCTTTGCGCTGATTTATAAGCTGCATGCCACTGACCACTTGATTGTCGCTTCCACTCTCCCAGTGTGTCTGTCTATGTGTATGTGTGTGTGCCATGTAATTTATTTACGTTAACACGCGCTGGCCAGCGCCTAAAACTATGCCACACCCCAGTGCTCGGACGAGCGCAATTTTCATTTTATTTTAAATGGCATAGAAAATTGTAAACTGACATTTTTCTGGCCAAGTGGAGAATCGAGTGAACCCACTCGTTTCGTGTGCCCCGGCCATGGGCTTTGCGCGCACAGCCGGAAATTTGTGTAGTTCGTCGTTGACGTCGTCCGAAAAAGTAAATTCTTCAGTTTGAGCCAGGCATTAAATTCTAAACCAGCCCAGACTGATTACCCTGAAATTACATTGTTTCGCACTTAAAATGGGTGCAGTGGCAACGGCATTGCCAACACGTTCGACCATGTTCGACAGTGTAAATGTGGCTTCTGGCCCCGGGTTTGAGAATGGCTGTTTCTGCTGCGCCATGGCCGGCCAGGCCAGGCCAGGCTTAATTAAGTGGCCTGTTTTTCTATGTGACGCTGAAAAATTTCTCTCTGTTCTACACATTGAATTTAATTGTCCACATTTATTGTTAATTGATTTTATTTTTAGCAATTTAGCATTTGAGTTCACTGATACTCTGGCAGAGGGTAGCTGAGTTTCGTCATAATGATTATATTGGAGTAGAAATAAATGTTAGAGATAATTTATCATATAATTAAAAAAATATATTTATTTCTATGTATTTATTATTTGTTTTTATTTTTATTTATTTATTATGCTTAACTTAATCCATTCCTCAATTGTTTTATGTATGCTGTAGTATTGTTCTCTCTTGAAAAAATATTTATTATTTATTTTATTTATATAAGATATATATATAAGTATATACATATAAGTATTAAAATACATTAAAAATTAAAATTGTATTGTTATCTGAAAACAATTTATTATAAATATATATGAAACATATTTTAAAAATATGTATTTTAAATACATAAAAAATATAAATTAATAAACAGTTTAACTCGCAAAGTTCACTTTCCTTAATATTAATATCAAGCCTTAGGCTCATCCCGAAAGAGTATTTATTTTTCGGCATGCTGCTTTAATTGTTGTTTTATTTCCTAGTTTTTATTGGGTTTTGGCAAGCGGCAGGTGATTATGTTGGGCTTATTTTAATTTGTAGAGGAAATTGTCTAAATTGAATGAAAATTGATTTAAATATAATCGAATTATCGACTGAATATCTGTACACCCCGATCCGGCTGTCAAAATGTCACTTTGCTCTTGTGCAAATTAAGCATTTAAAGTGTATTTTAAGTGGAGCTTAAATATTTGAAAAATATACATATAAAAATCATGTTTTGGTATTCTTTGCCTTTTCGCTTCATAATTTAATTAAATTCATTTCGCACAAAATTTATTTAAAAGTATTTCGGAAATTATGCACAAGTAAAATATATTTTCTTAATTGTTTGTTCTTTTTGCATTTATTACAATTAAGCAACTTAGATAAATTTTTAAACATTTAAATGTCTTTGTCATATTGAATTGAAAAGGTAAAAAGAGAACGCTTTAGCAAATGGCTGTGACTTTATCTATAATTAAAGTTTCGCCACCTTGCCATGTGCATAATCAATTCTAGAGTGCAAACATTGTAGCTATCTTTAAGTTGGCATCCTCTGGAGCTGGCAATAAGCTAAGCAAAGAGCCATCCAATCAGGCGCAGTCCATAACCACAGCCATGGCCAAAGCCAAAAACCACTTCACCATGTTGCTGGGGCTCTCAAACTCGCTTGACACATAAGTGCGAGTACCGTTGCTCAAACATGGTGACTGCCGCTCAATAAAGGTACTTTATATGTGTGTGAGTGTGTGTGGATGTGTGGATGTGTGTGCGTGTGTGGATGCCTACATGCGAGGGGCTCGTGCTCGTTTATGCTCAATGGCAGCTCCAGCGACAGCGCACATATTTAAAGAGCAAACGTTTATCTAAGTTGTACCGTTGCGGTTTCCGTTGACATTCAAATGCGGAAGCACCTGTCGCCCAGCACCGACACCGACACACCGACCGAGCCACCCAGAGACCGACGGACCCAGAGACCAGCAGACCGAGAGACCAAGGACTCGAGACGACTACAACTAAGTCAGCAGAAGCAGCAGCAGCAGGAGCAAAAGCAGGAGCAGAAGCTGAAGCAGTAGCAGAAGAAGGAGCAAAAGCAGGAGCAGAAGCTGAAGCAGCAGCAGCAGCCACTTCCGATTTCACACGCAGCCAGAACAGCAGATACTTCGAGTTCTGGGGCTTAGGCAAAGTCCTTTTAGGGAGGGTCGGTACACAAGTTACTTACAAGTTGTTAGTTGAGCAGAGTTCATTTTGATTACATACAATATAGATTATATTTATTTTATATATATCATTTATATTAATATTTTTTTATAAATTAAAAAAAAAAAAAACATTTAAATTTGTATTTTATACAATTTTCATTGCTTATAAATAAAAAATATTTTTAAATAGAAGCTCAACTTTTTTCTATTTAAAACTTCTTTAAAATTCATAAAAGAGCAAAAACTTAAAAATAATATATCAGTTCATATATCTAAAAATTATTTTTATATATAATTTATTTTTGTTTATTTATTATTTAAATTTTTTTAATTAAATTAGAATTTCTTAGTTAAAAAACTAAAAAAAATAAAAAATTGAAATTCAATTCAATTTGATTATTACTTGAGATTTAGCTATCTTGAATTTTTATTAAATTTACAGCTATTTTCTAAAATTATATGCATTCATTAAAAAATTGCTTTCACGCAGATAATAAATTGTTAAAATAAATTCAATGAAATGTGTATAAAGAATGAATTTTAATATAATTGCAATTTCATTCAATTTGTGTATATTTTATATCTCACAAAATATAAATAATGTTAAACGCCTTCGGCTTAATAATACTTGAGAACTTTTCTGTCAGCCCTCGCACATGAGTTTGGCTGCGGTGCGTGCGATTTGTCTTGACTGTCTTTGCGCAGTACGCCGGATACACACTTCGCCGAGCGTGCATGACAAGTTTCTTGAGTCAACTCACGAGCAGCAGCAGCAGGAGCAGCATCCACGCACTCACACCTGCCCGACGCCCACAGCCACAGCCACGCCCACACCTTGGCATGCCCCTTCACTTTGTAGTAACTTTTGAGTTTTCAAGTATCTGCGTCGTGGTTGTCATCAACTTTAAATAGTTTCGCTTACACCTTAAGGATGTCATTGAACAAATTAATTACTTGACAAGATTACAGCGAGGAGGGGCTGAGAGGATTGAATTGCTGTTGCTGCTGCTGCTGCTCATTAGAATGCTGCATATGGCCGGCGGCGTAACTATGCTCCTGATTACGGCTAACTATCATTGTTTTGGGCAGGAAAAAAAGGCAGCGGCCGTGGCTTTGGCAACAGCGGCGCACAGAACTCATTTTCGATTGCCTGAGCACATTATTAATGCGCTTCTGATGCCATTTACTGTGCGTGTGTGTGTGTGTGTGTGTGTAAGTGTAAGTGTGTATTATGCGCTGTGTGAGTTATGCTCCACGATACACCCTGGCGAGGCGGACACACAAATACAATGAACCTAAATGGTCTCAACTCACTTGGCTGCTGCTGCTGTTGCTGCTGTTGCTGTTTTCCTGAGCTACTGCCGGAAATTGGAAAAGAGATGGTTTATGCCACACCACTACATGAGCACTGGGCGGCGGTGGCATAGCTCGGGCACGGTGGTTGCCTCTGCACTTTATGCATGCACCGCTCATAAAGTGCGCTCGCCGTTTTCCACTGGGCAAAAAGGACTTTGCCATTGTTGTAACCAAAGTCATGGCATAACTGTGTTGTATCATCTCTGTGTGCGTGTATGTGTGTGGGTGTGGGTGTGTACGCCCATGCCGATATACACATGTGCACATGCCACTCGGCAAAGCTGCTAATGGCTGCTGTTAAGCATCCATTGTGAGCGTGTGTGCAAATGTGAATGCGCCAGGAGACTAGTTAATGCAGCACGGGACTACCTTTCGCATTGCTCGCACAGGTCGCTTAAGTCCTTAAGTGAACTCTCGCAGCTTATGATATTAATTTGGAGTGTACCTCTTAACACAAAGCTGATTCCATATTTAAGGT